GTACGCGGCACCGTACCAAGACACCTCCCGCATAGAAACGCAGCTCACCACCTGGCGGTCATCGCAACGCACTTGGCCAGCCACCGTGGCGTTGCAAGGCGGGCGCCTTCCGGGCGGACCCGGGCGCGGATCCACGGAGCAGTGAAGCGCACCCAGTGGGGGCTGCGTCCAGCTCTTCTTCCTTCTCCAGTTCATCCTCCTCTTCTCCTCCAGCTTTGCTTCCTCCTCCTCCTCCTCCTCCTCCTCCTCCTCCCCTCCTCCCCCTCCCCCTCCCCCCCCTCCCCTCCTCCTCCTCCTCCTCCTCCTCCTCCTCCTCCTCCTCCTCCTCCTCCTCCTCCTCCTCCTCCTCCTCCTCCTCCTCCTCTTCCTTCGTGAGAAGGGCCCACGTCCCCGCCGAATGAAGCGCCATTCCTGTTGCCTTGGCCCCTGGGGCCGCATCGCCAACCCGAACCGCGCGTGCGCCATGACCTACCACTGGCCATCGCTCGGACGTCCATTCCCTGTTTTGTTTGGTTTCGTGCGTGTTTTTTTCGCCAAATGATCAAGGATGCTCCTCGATGGTCCTCGCCGAAGGAAAAATGCACACGTCCGAGCGATGCCAAGACCAAGGCTTGCGCGTGGGCTTACCAAAATCTGCGGCGAGCCCGGGGGGGAAGTGAGAGGGCGCGGGCCTTCTGAGGAGGCTCGGCGACCCCCCTGCCTTCTGATAAGATTTCTAAGCTTTCCCCGGAGACACAGGCAACACCTCAAGAGGGCGCGAAGGGCTTCTAAGAAGCCCCGCCGCCTTTTGAGAAGGCCTCCTCCTTCTAACTTCCCCCCTCGCACACGGCAAAATTTGGTTTTTGGGTCATAACTCGGCTCTCCGGCGGGCGTTCGGGACGATCCGGGCACCCCCGCAACGCCATCGGCGAGGCGCAGCCGCCGGCCAGCCTCCCGAGGCTGGAAGGCCGCTGAGAACCGACGGAAAACGTTTGACAAGCTCGAACCTCGAACACACACAACCTCCCCCTCGCTCCCCGCCGACAGGATGGATCGGCGAAAGGGCCCGCGGGGCACCCGACAGATCCACCAACCGCAACTGGCGCCGCGGGGCCCCTGGCGGCTCGGACGCCAGCGCGCGCGCGCCAATGCTTCGGGCGAGGCGGGGCCCATGGGGGGGCACAGGACGCGGGTGGGCAGGGGGGGCAAGGACTCAGGAGAGACAAAAGTACCACTGCCACCAGCCAGGGGCATGGCCGCTCCTCCCCCTCGAGCTGGTGGCACATCCTTCCAGGCACTCTTCGGAGGCATGCCCGGAACGAGGTGCCACCAGCTCGAGGGGGAGGAGCGGCCACCCCCCTGGCTGGTGGTAGTGGCACTTTTGTTTTTGTTGCGGGGGACTGGGGTTAGGAAACAACTACTGGGAGGTCTTCGACGGAAGGATTGGGGAGACTTGACCCTCATTGGGGGGCTGCTACGCCGAATTTGGGCCGCGGACTGAGCGGGATTGCGCGGGACTAAGCCGGTTTGAATGGGATCAAGCCGCATTTCGGACCAGGGCGAAATCAGAGATTGACCTCCCAGTAGTTGCATCCAAACGGGGGCGGGGAAGGGGGACGGGGACGGGGGCGGGCATGGTCCTCCTCCTCCTCCTCCTCCTCCTCCCTCTCCTGCATATGGTAGTGGTGATGGAACATCGACCCATCAGCACACGCGGGGGCCGAGAAAGGCGCGAAATGCGCCACGGCCCCCGGACCCGAGCCAGAAGGGAAGACGACGAGGACGGAGAGCGACCGCACGGCAACGAAAACACGAGTTGGGAAGACACTTTTTCGGTCAGCGGAGGCAATCCGCGCCAACGTGGCGCATATCAGGGCAACCGATAGGCAAAGTGTCCGGCGTGCAAGACGGAGAGACGAGGACGAGGGCGGCCGCGAGAGGGGAAGGAGGGGGAGGGCGCTCAGACATGGAAGAGTGCGCGATGAGCGGCCTGGGACGGGAACGGATGCACCAGATGGTGGGAAACATGCGAGTCGAGCTGCCGCAACGGCCTGGCACATCTATGTATACATATACATATACAAATAAATAAATAAATGTATAGTACAAATATGTGTATTCCTCTTCCTATATGTTTATGAGCCCGGGCAGGGGGAAAACCCGTCCCCCCCCCCCCCCTAAAACCGGACCCCCGGGATCTGCAGCTTTGGGACCCTCCGGACGGGCCTCGAAGCGGCCACCTGGGCCTCGCAGGGCGTTTTGCCAAGCCTTCGCAGCACACCCAGGGCAACCAGGGGGGTCACCGGAGACGTCCCAGAGACCCCCAAGACAGCACAACAGCGCCCCAAGAAGCCAGCATACCCCGAAAGATCGTTCCAAAACATATCAAATGGTCTCCAAGAGCACACCGAAGACGGCCCCAAGAGGGAAGAATCATTGATTCTATGTAGGTTTTTGGTGTATTTGGGGTTCTCCTCTTTTCGGCTTCCCGACGCTCAAGACGGCGGTCTCCTAGGCGTCCGAAGCCGCCTGGGAGGCTCCCAAATCGCCCCACAAACATCCGAAAGGGCTTCCAGGCAGTCCAAGAGAGCCCCAAAACGCCACACCAGGGGTCCAAAATGGCCCTAAGAGAGCACTGTGGCGGCCCAAGATGGCCCCAAGACACCCTCCGAAGCATTCCAAATCGTGACTGGGGCGTTCAGGGAAACTGCGGTTAGAGGCAGGTTGGCCTTAGGAAGCCCAAGAGGCCCCCAGAACACACCCAGGAGGCCTCCAGAAGGCTTTAAGAAAGCCTGAGAACTTTGGTGAGGCCCCCAGAGGCTCTCGAAGGAGGAGCCTCCACGAAAAGAGCTGAGGAGCATGGGGAGAATGCCCAGGGTATGGCGAGAATGAAGAAAAAGAGGTATGGAGGAAGGACAACGAACAACATTATTGTAACGGCGATGCCAGAAAAGGCAGCAAGAAGTTATCGCTAAATTATCGGCTTGACATTCCTGCCATTTCCGCCTGCATACCAAACTCCAAGGACCAAAGTGCATGGCGCGAAGCGCCACTGCAGTCTTGTATATATATATATATATCGCACAAGAGCGAAACAACAATCAGTGGATGGCTTGAAAATGAGTGATTCGGAAATGAACATCGATAGTGAAATCGATCGTAGGATCGACATTGGGATCGATAGTGAGGACGATCGTAAGGTCGATCGTGAGAGCGATAGTCAAGTCGATTCAATGGGATCGATAATGAGATCGATCGCGTGGTCGCTCGTGCGATCTATGGTGGATTGCATGTAAGATCGATCATGAAATTGATAATTAGATCGATAGAGAGGTGGGTCATGAGATCGATGGTGAGACCGATCGATAAAGAGATCGACCAAAAATCAGGGAACCCGGAAACCCGGAAACCCCGCCGCCCACCGAAATCTGTCCGGAACCAGCAACCGGGAACCGGGGAACCCGGAACCGGGAGCCCGGGAACCCGGCCGCGGCCACCGAAGTCGGCCCGGTACTTTCGCCAAATCCTTCAATCTCCGCTAGGAACCCTTCAGTGCGAGCACTGATTGGGGAATCTTTTTTTATATATATATATATATATATATATATATATATGCACACATACTTTTATACATATATATATAGAGAGAGAGAGAGAGAGAGAGAGAGAGGAATCGAGGCTGCACGTCCCCCGCGGCACCAGCCTACCGCGCGATCCATGGCGCACGCTGGCGGACTGCCATACCAGATCACGGCAAGCAATATAGGTGCCCGTAACCCTTCGGGAGGGGACCTAAGTTAGGAGGGCCAGACAACATTAGGGCTAAGGGGTCGTTTCTGCAGATGTATCCGACAAAGTCGCCCAGAGCTGCTGTCCCTGAGGCGAAGACGGGGACCTAAGTGAGGCCACCTCTACATCGTGTTAGAAGGTTTAGGGGTTCCCTTGTACTCGATGATATCATGCGACTACGAAGCGTTTGCGACTCGGACTCGTCGACGTCAAATGACCGACGTGTGCCCCGAGAAGATAATAAGGGAAACGCGGAACGAGATCCACTCACCATAATCCTTGTGTTTCGTTTTTGGCTTACAGTAGGGGCCCCTCCACAAGAAACCGTCCACAAGAAACCACCTGGAGACCCCAAGGCGTCCATGGACGTTTGGTGTGGGGACGTTACGCTTTCCATCGCAAAACCATCGAAACCCAAGAACCCCAGGGCACCCTGGAGGCAAGCAGGGTGTTTCCTGGCATGGGCCCCCACAGTATGCAATGTGACCAAACGGGCTTCAACAACAATGTGAAGTCGAAATCCCCCAAACCGTCCAAATTGCTAGAGGCAGCCCTAAAGTGGTCCCAAGATGCCACCACGAGGCCAAGATGGCCCCAAGAATGCCCCTGGACAGCCCACGCATGGCCTCAACCCGGGCGTTGGTCGGATTAGGTCGGGCATGTTCCCCTACAGGCGGCTTTGGGACTAAAAATACAAAATAGTCAAACATGCTCAGAAATAATCAAAACATCGTCCCAATATTATTGTTTGACTGCTTGAGAATATTCAGCCTGTAGAGGGACAGGTCCGACTTAATGGTAGGACTGGGTTCAGTGGAACCTGGTTAACAATGTGCTCTGGGGGACGCGCCCCCGACACAATCCACTGCCCGGAACTGCCGCCATCCGAGGAAACAGCAACCAGCGATTGCAAGCCATCTTTTGGACCTCGGGTCCCGATCTCCAACTGGGTATATGAAGGGGCCCCAGGACACACAAAAAAATACACACACACATAAAAATATTCCCCATATTTTCCTATATTTTATATGTTTTTGTCTTCCCCCCCACTTCCCATATTTTCCAATATTTTCCTGGGACTCGACGATTAATTGTGTGTGTGTGTTTTTGTTCCTTCCTGGGTATATCCGATCAAGATAGCTCAGCCTGGGGGGGCAGGCGGCAGATGACGCAACCCCTCCGACCCGGGCTATGCAAAGAGCTCCTGGTCTCCCTGCGCCTCTCGTCGAATACGAGGGACCACGTTGGCCAGGTTGTCTTTCTCGTGCCTCTTCACTTCGCGAAGCGCAGAGAAGAAGAGGACATCGACACCACGCTTCTGGTAGTAGTCAGCCCACCGGCAGCGCTGTCGGGAATATGTTTACAAACAATGGAAACTTGGCCATGCCGAGCAAACTCCCTCTTCTGACAACCTCGCAATACCCTCTGCGACCTCCTCTGTGATGCGAGGCATGCCCTGAGGCGTCGTCGCTGAGTGAGATTTGAACATGAGATTTGCTCGGGATCGTGCTCATCGTTCCCGCTCCCCGCGTCAGAGATGGAGAATGGACGCAGCATGGCACGCAAGGACCGAACGGCATGCTGGAATCCTCGACAACGAATCACAACGATCACAACGATCAATGAGACAACGCTGACAAACATAACAGCAAGCACAACGATAACAACGAGCACAACAACGATACCAACGATAATAACGAGTACAACGATAACAGCCGTGCATCTTGCACATATGGCGCTTCGGCCACGTCTGGGGCCACCAGAGGCGGCTCACGTGCGAAGGCGGAACACTGCACCTCTCGTGCTGGGGGGCTGCGATGGCAATCGAACCTATAAATCGTGCAGCTGTTTCGAAGTTCTGCAGCAAGAGCATCGATACTCAAGGAGCTAGCAGTGCAGAGCTCAGATGAGAGCATGTACCCGCCATCGCGCAGTGCGGCTGGTGTTCGCGCGAGCGCGCGCGCGTTTGTGTGCGGGTGTGTGCATATGCGTGGGCACGAGTGTGTGTGGTCCTTGATATTAGCCTAAGGCACCTGTATCCTGCATCTCAGCGGTCGGCAATGTCCGACACTCGCTGGGGCTCTCTGTGTTTTGTGCGTGTCCGAGAAGGTGGCTGCTTGTGTTTCACACGTGTTCACAGAAAGGTGGATTCATTGTGTTGGCAGTGCTCCTACTCAATGTTTTTATCGTTGACTGGAATGGCGCGACGCCAGAGAAGGGTGTGTTCGTGTGTGTATGTGTAAGTGTGTGTGTGTATGTGTATGTGTATGTGTGTGTGTGTGCGTGCGTGCGTGCGCGTGTGTGGTGCGTGTGAATGTATATGTGTGTGTGTAAGGGGGGGCGTGTGTGCGTGCGTGCGTGTGTGTGTGGATCCCGCGTTTGAGGGCCCGGCCGCGCACTGTTCCGTGCTGCTTGCTCGACTTGCTCCGCCTCGTCACTGCGCGCGAGGCCGAGATCGCCAAAAAGTGTGTGTGTGTGTGGGTGTGTGTGTGTGTGTGAGTGCGTGTGCGTGTGCGTGTGCGTGTGCGTGTGCGTGTGCGTGTGCGTGTGCGTGTGCGTGTGCGTGTGTGTGTGCGTGTGCGTGTGCGTGTGCGTGTGCGTGTGCGCGTGTGTGTGTGTGTGTGTGTGCGAGGTGTGCGAGTGCTTTTTCGCGTGTTCGCGGCGGCCGCTGCGGAGTGCCACCAGACGCTGGCTTGGACCGACGGCGCCTGCCAGCTCGTTGCTTAGCCTCCTTCGGCCGTCCCCTATCGCGACTGCCGCTGTCACCCCCGCACGACTCCTGCTGCACGGGCAGCTGACGCTCAGAGGGACAGGGTGGCAAACACGGTGCCCAACGCCAAAGCCACGGGGACCCCTAGGCTGCCTAGGAGACGCCCCGGCTGATCCAGGCAACGAGGATGCATCTAATGAAGTGTGCAGCTGTCTGAAGCCTAGCGCCTAGCCACGACTCCGCCGTGCGCGATCTGCGCAGGTCTCTTGGATCGGCGCTGGACCCCCCCCTTCCTGGCGCGCTCCGCGCGCCATGGGCGGTGCCAGAGGCGTGACCAGGGAGGCCCAGCCCCGATCCCAGGAATCCGCGAGGACCCCCGACAGTTGACTGCTCAATGTTGGTAACCTGTGCGACGGCAGGCTACCACGAGATCTCTCCTCCACCTGGCATTTGCCGGCCACGAGCCTGCTCCACGGTCAGGTAGTCCGCCTTGTTCACGAGCAGCACCAGCCTCTTGGTGCCGCCGAGCTCCCTGACGTACCTCTTGCAATGATCCCAGGCTCCCGTTGCTGCACCACGCCAAGCTTTCGCGCCAAGCATTGGCGTGATGTGGAATGGCGAGTCCGAAAAATTGCGCGCCGCCCAGACAGGATTTGGAGAGGACCATCAATTCATGTCCGCTGCAGCGTGACGGACCCGCCTAGACTTTTGATAATCGTCTTTCGTCACCCCACATCACCCTGCATGGGCATTCATCTGAAACAAACCTAGCATTACAATTCCGATGCCCGAGCTTACCTCTATCATCCAATTTCCTTGACTTCAACCAGGAGAAACATATCTCAAAACCACCTCAATTAAACAGACGACAACCAATAAGATCAACTCGTGTGATTGATTTCCGCTCTCTCGGCACCCTGGGTATCACAAGCGACGTTTCCATCGTTGCCACTCTGGGTGTTTACCTCTAATGGTCTTTAGACCCCCCAGTAGAGGGTTACCTGGTTATTTCTTCGGCGGCCGTATGCACGAACTGGGGTCCAAACGATATGGGGTAACTATACATTTGTTTCGCGGTACCTGCCGCGCAACAGCGCTGAAAACAACAACAACAACAACAACAACAACAACAACAACAACAACAACAACAACAACAACAACAAGAACAACAACACCAACTACAACAACAACACCAACAACAACAACAACAACAACAACAACAACATTTATAAGACTGTTCGCCCTCATATGCTCGAGTGTCCAATAACGCGTATTTCCCAAACCCTCGATACCCGCCCTCTTCGTCTTCGATCGAACCCCTTTTGGGGGGTATACCTTTCTTCCCTGCAGGCCGGGCCCCGGCAAGCGGCGGGGCGGCCGCGGACCGTCGGCCTGGCCAGCGGCAGCGCTGATCGGCGGGGCGGCCGCGGACCGTCGACCCGACCCCAAGAGGGACGGACAGGGGACCGACCGACGACGACGACGACGACGACGACGTCGAAGACGACGGCGACGACGACGACGGCGACGACGAGCGAAAGCGAGAGCGAGAGAGAACGACAGCAGGGCCACGAAGCGCACGAAGTAGGCCAGGAACGGCGACAGCAGGGACACGAAGGGAATGCGTGAGCGCGAACGAACGGGGGCCACGAAGTGCAGATGATGCGGGGCCACAGAAGGCAACTATGGGGCCACTGAGGGTAGCAACTGGGCCACGTAGGACAGTGAGGGGGACACAAATGGCGACAGCGGGGCCACGAAGGGCATGCACATGGGGCCACAATGGGCGCGACTCCTGGGTGCCTGGGTGTCGGGAGCGCGGCGCTTGGGCAAATTACAAGAAATTCCAACGCAAGGCCTTTCTTCAGTAAGTTGCAAGCAAGTCTCCAGCGAGAGCGCGACTCCAGAGCGCCGGGAGAGCGATTCCTGAATAAATTGTAAGGACGTCCCAAGCGAGAGCGCGATTCCTGAATACAATGCGAGGAAATCTCGGGCGGGAGCGGGGGTCCTGGCTAAATTGTAAGGAAGTCTCAGGCGGGAGCCGTTGTTGTTGTAACCCGGGGCCCAGGGGGCCAGTTTGACCAGGAAGACTTTCCCTGACAAAAAAACAGGGTGCGAGCGTCGAGGGGCACACTTTGATAGAGAAAAAACAGTATGCACCAGTGGGGGGGATCAACAATGATTATTCTTCAGAAGTGAGAAATCAACAACAACAACAACAACAACAACAATCACTTTACCCGAACGCTCAGTGTTCTCACCAGTGCCAGGATTTTCATGCGACGCCAGCCAATACCCCCACTTTGTGGGGGGGCAGTGCAAGCTCTACCAAATATCCACACGACTCTTCGCCACCACCCACACCCAGCTTCCCGCCCTATGACGTTCGGACACTTCACTTCGTGGCCTGCGGACGACCGTGGCTACTACACTGGCGTGGAGTACACACCCACAGAAGTTGTTAAGCCTACGTTCGTACACCCACAGAAGTTGTTAAGCCTTGTTAACCCACAAAGGTAAGGACAAGAGCGGGGAGCATGATGACAGGTGTATGACCATTTGTTTTTTTAGGATTCGGACAGCGCGCGCGGGTAGAAATTTTGAAAAGTCGTGCAGGTGTTTTTCGAGGACCTACGGTGCGATTCGTGTGATTTTATGATGCGCGGTGCTAAAATTCTTAAGAAGCCCAATGGTTTTTGGAGATTTCGGCGTGCGCGCGCGAAGAAAAAACGAATGTGTCCCGCATGGTATTATTTGACAGGGATGATGGCCCTGGCAGGTGCGCAACCGTTGTCGCAGAAGTTCGAAAAAGTTGCTCGCAAAAGCCCGTTTGACAGAAATGTTTAAAAAGTGTTGGGTTTCCTACGAATCCGCAAGAGCGCGCGGGATGAGATTTTGACATTTTTTTGTTGAAAAACCATTGGTTTTTTGATGTTTTTATGTTAAAATCGCTCCGAACACTAAGCTTTTGGAAGGATTTCGTCTTGCGCGCGCGAATGTCCACTTTACCTTATTTTTTGCAAGGGATTCTTGAAATTTGATTATATTAGAACAAGAAATGTCATTTTATAGTGTTTTTTGCAAGGGAAAGCGGGGGGAACAAAACAACCGGATCTTGATCACATCGAATTACCTGAGGCTTCCTCACGAAAATGATGAAAATGTAGCTGCGGCCTAGGCGGCGCAGGGGGGGCGTGCACCAGGGGGCCCAACAATAATTATTCTTTAGAATTAATAATGTTCAACAACAATCATTTAAGACTGGGGACACTCCGTTCTCACCAGTGCCAGGGTTTTCATAGGAGGCGGGCAATACCCCCACTTTGTGGGGGGGCCGGTTCAAGCTCTACCAATTTCCAAACGACTCTTCGCCACCACCCACACCCAGCTTCCCGCCCTATGACGTTCGGACACTTCACTTCGTGGCCTGCGGACGACCTTGGCTACT